TTTTTATCCATCTATATATATATATATCTATCTATTTCTATCTATATCTATATCTATATCTTTATCTATATAAATATATGTATCTATATCTATATCTATCTCTCTATCTATCTATCTATCGATCGATCGATTGATTGATTGATTGGTTGATTGATTTATATATACGTATTATAGTCATGCTATCTCTCTCTATGTCCAAATATCTAGTCTGAGAGTCATTATGATCGGTCGAAATCACTCCGGCCATGTTGGTTGATGCTTGAGACCACAGTTCCCATCCAATTGGAGGCCCCCAAGATAGGTAACTTGGTCTTAAGTATGTTTACCATGGTTTATGGTAAAGATATAGTTAGATGGAATTATAAACTAATATTTTTTGGCACCGCATTTGGCACCTGGTTTGATAGGAATTGCGATTGAGAATCCCAGATGGGACCCTGATCAGCAAAGCAGCACAAAGGAATGAGGGAAGGTCTTAGCGCATTGCCCAAGTGATGCAAGGCTCATCTTTGCTGAACGATCCACGGAAATCATAGTTTTATCATCTATCTATCCCAAAGATCCATCCATAGTTTTTCAGGTTTTGCTTTATGACGCTAATAAATTGGTCTATACGTTCATCAAAGATTCGCAAAGAGGTTGCATGTTCGCAAGTAAACGTCCCATCTTTCTAAACGTTCCCATCCCAGTACTTTTCATCGAAAAGAACCGTTCCAGGAACGCTTGGAAGCCTTGGAACAGTTGTTGAAGGTGCAGCTGTGGCTGGAAAACATAGGCCATTGGACTTTTTACAGGGAAATGGTGGTACAAGATGGGTCCTCCCAGCCACAAGTTGGTATGTTAGGCCCCATTAGGTATAGACTAGATATATCATGATATATCACTGAAATAATATATCACTGAAATAATAGTTTCTGTTGAACCAGAGTTATTGGAGTTATTGGAATTCAACATCAACTTAGCTATCTAGGGGGGCCCAGCTTGTGTGAATTATAGTTATCCCCAATGCTCCATGTATGCCTTATGTGCCACGATTTATCCTGGGAATTCTCTTCTCATATTGAAGATTACTGGAGTGGGAAGTCCGCACTATCTTGGTTCTTGTTTGTCTGAAGATCGGGTGCCCTTAAATCCACTAGTTCATCATCATTGAACATGCTCCTTCTTGGCCATAAGGGGGTACCACTATGGAAAATCACCATTTTTAATAGGTAAACCGTCTATAAATGGGCCGTTTTCCATGGCTATGTTAAATAACCAGAGGGTATATTCCATTTCCAGACACACCCAGTTCGTGGAGTTTTGTGTAAACGGCCGGCCGAATTTCCCCGCGACACATGTTTCAGCAACGCCTCAAAACAATTTATATACACCCAACTTCCATAATATACAATTTTTGTTTCCCGGCAGCCGGCCGGCAGCCGGCCGGCACCGGCCGGCACCGGCCGGCACCGGCACCGCCGACCGGCCGGCACCGGCACCGCCGGACCGGAAGACCGACCGGCCGGCACCGGCCGGCAACCCGCACCGGCCGGCCGGCAACGAGCCGGCAACCGGCCGGCAACCGGCCGGCAACCGCACGGCCAGCGGCCGGCCACCGGCCGGCACTCTTTCGGCATGCAACGCGGGCCACCCGCTATGGAAACAAGCTATACTATATACTATACTTAGTGGATGATTTTGGTCTAAAGCATTTGCAAGTAACATGCAACCTAGTCGTAAAGTATTTACAACCTAGTGTAAGTTAAGCTAAGTAAGCTAAGTGTTTATCTTATTTTATGGTTGTTGTAAGTATTTACTAAAGATAAACTAGATAGTTAAGTTTTGTAAGTTTTTTTGGAGTTAACAAAAAACCAACCAGAATAACTTATAAGTAACTTAGGAAATTTAACTTCTTTTTGGAATTTAAGAGCTATTTTTTTGTCTTGCCTACATTAGAACTTGTCTGTTGGTTTCTTTTGAGAAACACAATATATATATATACTGTTTTCATTCTCTTGAGTTGCCCGATTCCCACATCTGCCATGTTGCAGCTAGATCCGATGTCACTTCTTTTTGATGTTGTATTCAATCTGTTTGTTGAACATGCCAAAAGTTAGGCCAGCTTCTCTGAAATTGCAACAGCTTCTGCGAAACGCAACACTACTTTGAAGACGTTGACGAACCATTTCAATTGCTTCTATAGGTTACTTCCACCTAAGCCCGTACAACATCACAATCAACATTCACTGAACTCCTTGCTCCTTTCGAATTCATTGTATGTCCAACTTCGATTCTGCACCAGCCCGATTGTAAATACGCAACTTCCCGTATTGTGCAACTCCGCTTGTGCAACGCGGGTCTCCGGATTGCGCAACTCCGCACGCCCTCCCTATGATCGCATGCCGACCCTTGGGAAACCCCATGAACTTCAAATTGACCTTGAATGTGTACAAGGGTAAGAAACATCCAAATCCCAACCCCGTGGAATTTCAAATTGACCTTGAATGTGTACAATGGTAAGAAGATATCAAAAATCCCACCCCGTGGAACTTCAGATAAACCTTTGAGTGTGTACAATGGTAAGAAGATATCAAAATTCCCACCCCCATGGAACTTCAAATTGACATTGAGTGTGTACACCAGTAAGAATATCAAATTTCCCACCCCCATGGAACTTCAACTTGACCTTTGAGTGTGCAATGGTAGGAAGATATCAAAATTCCCACCCCCATGAAGCTTCAAATTGACCTTCAGTTTGTACAACGGTAAGAAGATACCAAAATTTCCACCCTCATGGACCTTCAAATTGACCTTTGCGTGGGTGCAATGGTAATTAAGAAGGCGTCGAAATTCCCACCCCCATGGAGCTTCACATTGGCCTTTGAGTGTACAATGGTAGGAAGATATCAAAATTCCCACCCCCATGGAACTTCAAATTCACCTTTGACTGTGTACACTGGTCGGAAGAAGATATGAAAAAAATGCACACCCATGGAACTTCAAATTGACCTTGGGGTCTGTGCAATGTTCAGAAGATATCAAAATTCCCACCCCCATGGAACTTCAAATTCACCTTTGAGTGTGTAAAACGGTACGAAGATAACAGAATTACCACCCCCATGGAACGTCAAATTCACCTTGAGTGTGTACAATGGTTAGAAGATATCAAAATTCCCGACCCTATTGACCTTGAATGTGTACAATGGCAATGATTTTTTTTTAACAAATTCCCACCTCATGGCATTTGAATTTGACATTGAGTGTGTACAATGGTAACTAAGAAGATATCAAAATTCCCACCCCCACCAAAATTGAAATTGACCTTGAGTGTGTACAATAGGGTTTTTGTTTTTTCAACTTCGACATAGCATGCAAGTGTCAACCTCGGCCTGTGGCACTTGGAGATCGGATTGATACTTTCTGTTGTTTTCTACATGGTATGAGCTTCTCCTGCATGGACTTTCAGAATCCCAGCAGGGAGTTTCAATGATCTGCTTTCTGGGTTTCAAAATCCCTCTTCAGAGTTTCACAATCTGGTGTTAGAGTTTCACAATCCCCCCTGCAGAGTTTCACAATACGATTTCCCAGTTTCACAATGCAAGTTTCACAATACGACCTGCAAGTTTCAGAATACAACCTCCAAGTGTCACAATCCAAGTTTCAGAATCCATTCTCCACATTTCGCAATCCGATCGCCAAGTTTCACAATCCGGCGTTGATGTTCACCAAGGTTTCTTCAAGGTTTCCTTTGAATTTCTTGATGGTTCATTGCATTTTTCTTCAGGTTCCATTTAGTGCATGTTCAAAGTTTTTGCAAGGTTTCTTTCCATGTTTCTTGCGCGTTTGTTTCACGGTGTCTTGATGCGTTTCTCTTACAAATTTCTTTGCGGGTTTCTTTTGGTTTTCTTGCACGGTTTCTTTTAAGTTTCTTGCTGGTTTCTTGACGGTTTCTTTCTGGCACGCATTTTTTCGACAGCTTTCCCCGATCGAGGCCCGCAACAGCGGAACCACAGACCCAAACGCTGCCAGGTTTTTTCATTCTTCAACTAGTCCAGGTTGGGGGTTGACATGATGATGCGGTTGACATGTCCGTGTTAAACATGGCTACCGCCCCATATTTGGAAGTTTCCTAATTACTTAACTTTCCCAACCGGCACCTGCCGGCAACCGGCACCGGCCGGCAACCGGCACGGCCGGCAACCGGCCGGCAACCGGCAGCACCTTCAGACGTACGGCCCGGCACCGGCCGGCACCGGCCGGCAACCGGCACCGACAAAAAAAGTATATACTCCCAACTTGAACATGGGCCACAGCTATTTGCTTCATCCAGCCGGGCCGTCGATGATATTTCTGCAGGAAGAAACTTGGGTGATGTTTGAACATTTTCAGGGTGCAAATGCTGATTCTGAAATCAATTCTCTACAGCGCTGACTTTGCTTGTGTTTCCAAGGGGCAGTGTGAATCTGGAAGGCAGATCAATTTTCCACCCGGTGCGACTATCAAAACATCAAAGTTGGGCTCTTGAAGTTACGAAATGCACATGTAACATGAAGTGCGAATCGTAATCTGATCCTATCTTCTCCATTATGGGAATCTGAGCTATCATGGTTCAAGAGTAGGTGAACACAGATTGGCCCTATATGGCTACAGTATAAGTCAGCAAGTCACTAAATTTATGGTCAAATACATCCCCATTAACATCCATATTAGAACTGTTAGAGGGCTTTAACTCTTTAACTGCATAGTAGAGCAGGGGAAAATCATTCTGGAGCAACACTGCCGTGGCTTAGCACTTTTGCTCAAGTGCTCACTTTGATGGACTTCTTGACGTGGCCGGAATCATTTTTGAGGATCAGTTGAATCGTCATGTGTACAGTAGCCTGAGCATCTACAAATACCAGTTATATAAGTTATAAAAACATAGATGAAAATGTCCCAAAGCACCACTCACCACTCCTAGCAGTGCCTAGCAGTGTCAAGTTAGAACGTTACCTCCACGTTTCGATTGGATCGGCCGTTGAAACCTACACGCCAAACGGCGTCACGGCCGCGTCGCCATGTCGCAGTCCAACAAGCCCTTGGCGACGTCGCCACTGGGAGGCAGAGGCGGGTAGCTATGCGCTCCGGCGCCAGTGAAGTTGGAAAGGATCCTGGATGTGTCGGATGTTTTTTTTTCGAATTTGGCTGGCTTAGATGTTCTATAAGTTTTCCATAAGTGTCCAAACCCTTGAAGATAGATGAAGATAGTTGCTTTTAAAAAAAGTTCGCCCAATCACTCGCCAGAAATCTCCCGCGAAATGGATTCAATCAGGCTGTGGTCTTTTCTGCTGGGCTGTGCCCATCCTGCTGTTCGCTTTTGCCATCCGGCTCTGTGCAGCTCGGCTTTTCAAAGTGATGTCGCTCCAGCTATAAGATGGTCATATATTGTCATCGGCCACTTTAGATTCTTGGGATGTCCCCCTGAGTAGAACATGGATAGTCTCTATGCCAAATAATGTCTGGTTTTGCCTGTAGCCCTCTCATTACTTGGTGATCCCTGGTCGCTCCAGCAAAAAGAACAAAACACCACCGTGGGGCTTAACACCTTAGTTGTTGCCAGAATGAGTGACTGGTGGTTGGTACCTCAAAAACTATACTGTACATGTTATACATAAACTGCTGTACCAAATAATAATCCGAATCCGAACCACTTATTGCGACTTCCGGCAACATATAAGGTAACATACAGTCACTGGTTGGTGGTTTAGAACATTTGGATTATTCTTCCATATATTGGGAATGTCATCATCCCAACTGACGAAGTCCATCATTTTTCAGAGGGGTAGGTATACCACCAACCAGATTATTATTAACCATCATTAACCATATAACAACCATATTTGTTAACCATTATTATTTAACGCCCCAAAGAGTTGTTGACAAAATGCACCTTGATCAATTCACCCAGGATCGGTTGCGGATGTCCCACCTCAGGTCACCTCAAGTACTGATCCTGTCTGAAACTGGCGTTTTTTTCCACCAAAATTTCCACCACAATGGCCATCTAAACAGAAAAAATGGTGATAAACCATGACATGTTTTGGTACCTGATTTTCAGCCAATCCCATGAAAAAACATCCATTTTATAGGGATTTTACATGATTTTACCATGATTTGTTCCCGGATCCCCCGCTCCATGGCCGTCCCTTGCCACGGTATGTTTTCCAAGGGCCTCCTCCTGGACGTCGAGGATGTCTACGAGACACTGGACAAATCCCTTGGGGTTGATGGCTTTCATAGGTGGTGCAAACATGACATGTTTTTTAAAAACGATGGACTGTGGAAAAGTCATGAACAATCATCTGCAAAATGGACATTATGTGGATTTCCGAATAAATCAATGGCTATGTTAGTTGGTTTATGTTCACTTCATTAACTATAGTTCAATATATCTACCAGAAGCTCAACAGTTAACCCACAAACAGTTCAACCAACTTAGCTCATGGGGGCACCACCTTGCAGCTTGGTCCAGCGGTGTGGGTTGGACGGCATGCCTTGCAGTGATCACTCTTGTGGTTTCGTTTTTATTTATAAACTCTAGGTACTGCAGAATACCTACTGGTAGGTGTTAGATGGTTACTGCAATCTATAAACATCTATAAATTAAGTAAATGCTGGAAAGCCCCACATGAAGTATATTAATGTGTACATGAAGAGCTTCGGCATGTGCCATCCATTTACTCATAACCTTTACGGGGTCCGAAAAATTCAGGTGCTTTTAGTGCCCTAGTGCAGTGACATCTCCGTCCGGGGGGTACCTCCAAGTGCAGTGCGTGGTACTCACGTCGAGGAAGGGCTTCGCCTTGTACAACATTCTCATGTTGCCGCATCAGCCCCTTGGAGATAGCTGGGCAGCTGGGTGCAGAGCAGGCAGACTCCTGCAAAGTGGGGCCCTGCGGCAATAGCTAAGTTGGTGCCACTAAGTCACTAAGTCCAATTTCCTATGGTTGTGATGATACTTATAACGATAGTTCATGGGGACAAGACCTGAAAAATACTGAGCAATCTTGCTCAAGACCGACCATTTCTTGGGTGAAGCCACTTTCCAGTTACATTCCTGGAGGCTACCCCTTGCTCGAAAACAAAAGCACCACCAGGATCTGTTTTTGACAGTTCAACCTAATAGCAGTTGAGCCTATCCCACAAGGCACTGCCATTTGCTTCTTTGTACATAGCTAGGGTTCAGTATAAGTTGCGGTGACTGCAACTTACTTGACAGCCTTTTGGCCTTACTGTTTGCAACATTGGTCTACATGTGGGTTTGTTTGAGTCTAAGTAATATACCCTCAAAATTCCAGGGGATCTCACTGTTTCCCCTTTAAAGTGGCATGTTTTGGGGCATCACCTATTTTGATCTATTTTGCACATTCTCAAACAAAGCCAAATCAAATATGCTTGGCTTTGGTTCATTATTTTCCCATCATGTAATAAACATATCCCCATGAAATGATTTGTTTTACTCATCTGGCTGGTGGTTTGGAACATGATTTTTGCCGTATACTGGGAATGTCATCATCCCAACTGACGAAGTCCATCATTTTTCAGAGGGGTAGGTCAACCACCAACCAGATTGTTATTAACCATCATTAACCATATAATAACCATATATTTGCCATTATTAACAATATATCGACAGTATATTAACCATCATTGGCATATCAGTTTCGATTGGTTTATTCGCCTTGACCAGTTCTTGGCAGCAATTTTGATTGGCAGATCACATGGGGTTGAAACCACCAACCAGTTACTCATTGTTTTTATATTCCATGGTTTCCAACTTTGATCACACAGCTGGTTAATCCTTAACGTTTTGTGTCTCCGTTACGTGACCCGGTCATCAAAGCTGGCTTGCTGGACATCCCATAAAAAAGCCCCGTTATATCCCCACTACTCTGGTAAACATACAAAAAGCTCAGGAACATCACCGTTTTTTCTATGGCCATGTTCTATGGTCATTTTCAATAGCGAACTGGGTAGTCATTACCAGAGGGTAGTTATCTCCCAACGCCGAGTCAGCTGAGAAACAAAAAACACCCAGGGCCTACGAAGATTTCCTGCAGAGCTACGATGTCTACACCCACGCCACGGACCAAGAGCTGGAAGACGCCTACGGCCAGGTCTGGAAACGGCGAGTATGGATGGGAAGTAGCGGCTGATCGCTTTAATCTCTATACATATATAATCATATATATATACATACATTATATATAAATATATATACATACATACAAGGTTGGGAAAAGCGTGTGAAAAGCAACGGAAAATGGTGATTTCACCTGGAAAATATAGATTCAATGGTATTACGCAGCTGATTTATGATGGCTTAGTTGGTTTATACATGTTTGCACTAGGTTTTATATAACTATGTTTTGCGGTAGATAAATTTATAACTATACATGGCGTGTAGAAAACCAACAAACATTTCACTGGGGGGCACCACCTGATAGGTTTGCCATATTTAGGGTAATAACCATCCATTAACCAGCTATGACTTAGGGTACCCGGAATACCAGGCTTTTCCAACATAACCACATAAGATATCTACTTTTGCAATATATATATATATATATATTTATATTTATAGAGATACATGTGTGTGTGTCATGGATTGTCCATATATCGACACATGCATTGTGGCTTGTAATAAACACGATATATTTTGTGTATATGGAGTCGTCATATTTAATTGTATGACAATACCCACGGATAAAGCTTTGGATGGTACGGTTCTAATCGACTACCTGGATGCTCCCCAGGCAATATTTGTTATTGGGACGTCATAAAGCTATGCTGGGACGGCGGAAGAAGGGATTGGAATATCAACTGATAATGCACAGTAATTAAGGATATCCAAGGATTGATGGTTCTGATTTAAGCTGACACTGCTAATCTTGGATCATTTTGCAATGCTGTAAGGCTTTGTTCACACGATGAAGCGACAACTCGTGGTGTGCTTAGGGGTCAATGCAAAGATTGGGCACATCGAATGGTGAATGGTGGCTGAGTCGAACCACTCTTTGCTTGTTGTGACAGTCATGGTTCTCTGCTCATCCAGAGCGACCGAAAATTTGCGAAAATAAAAAGACCTTGAGCGTGTCCGTTCCTCCCTTAGCGGGATGCTACCCCTGGGGCTTCAAAACTTTTGGCGCTTGCAAAAGTACTTGACTGATGATGGATCCCAGCGTTGCTAGAAGCACCAGCAACTTATTTTTAAAAGATCCGTCCCAGCAGACCCAAGGAGCCAGCACTGGATGGAAAGAACATGGGGACCTAATCTGTGGATGCAATGCGAACCATGATTCTCCAGCAACCATTTTTGGTATTCATCAACAAAATGCGACAGAATGAAGGAAGTGAATGATAAAGTACGCGGGGATAGGCAAATACCTATTGGAACACGTTTCACGGCGCAACCAAACCACCCCCTGTTGATGATTAAGAAGTTCTTAGCAATGCCTGATGATGGGGATTCCCACTACGCGGCGAATGACCATTATATCATTATATCCTATTCGATCCCCGTGATGGTTGCTTTTATACCACATTTTGTTTGATTCTCCATGTTCAGCCATCAAAGTTGGTCGAACCCACATGATCTTTGAACCATGATTGTGCATTCCACATTTAAATCCCATTCGAAACCCAATGAGCCCAATGAGATTTCCCTTGTTCGTGGGTCCCGTAAAAGCTCCATGTTCTGTTTGACCAACGCGGCCAGGACTGGCGAGAAGTTGAGATGCGGAAGCACAAGCACACCTACACAGTAGCTCGATGGCATGGCCGGGCAGAAAGAAAGGTGGAGACCTGGTGTTTTCTATGCGTGAATCATATTAGATATGATGTGATATAAAATGATTTTAAACATATACATAGACATGATGTTGGTTCATAATATTTAAGACTAGTATATGATACTACATGATAATAGTATACCTAGATATAGGTGTTGCGTGCAAAAAAAGTGCCGGATTCCACAACGGCGTTTTCTTTTGACGTAGCCCGGAAATTTTGACGCAGGACAATCCAAGAATGACGTTGCCAAAGGTCAATGGTTGTGAGGGCTGTGGAACTATGGCTCACCATGCATACGCTTGACTGACAAAGAGGTGGTCGCAATACCCTGAACAGTACAAAACTCCTCTTTTCCATGGACTCCGCAAGTCCATGAGCAGCAAAAATAGTGGGAAATGAATTCTGTCATGGTCCCGGGAAATTAATGATATGGGAAATTATGCCGTAATGTTGGGAAATTACGCCGTAATCTTTGGGAATTACGACGGCAACTTTTGGTGATGTTTCCATTAGTTTTTTTCTGGAAGAACAATAAAAACCAAACACACCCAGGTTCCAAGACATCGCACTAATTTAAGTGCACATCTTTGCCTTTGAGCCGCAACGTGGTCCACACATAATTACATATAATTACCAATGAAAATTACGTAGCCCAAAAAATGATTACGATGTCGCTCCTGGAATCACACCGTAGCATGGAAAAAAATCCTTTTGGCATAAAAGTGCCGCAATTGCATTTCTAGGTATTAGCTGTATATACATTGCATATTTTCAGGGTAAAATATAGCGAACTCATTGCAACTTCACCGGGATAGCCTTATTCAGGTCAGCGTGTTTTTACAATTTACTCATGATATATATGCACAAGAAAAAACACATATCATATATATATATATAATATACACATATTTTTTGATTGATGATTAATATGGCCGATTTTAAGATAGATGTTTGTTTAACCAGAGGCTTTACTCCGGAAGTCCATTTTGTGGGAGACCTGAAGTGGCAGTCGAATCTTCTGTCAGGTGGTCCAATACTACTGTGCATTGGTCGGGTGTCAGCATCTTGGTTGCGCTCGCTGTTTGCCAACCATGCAGGGTCAAGAGGGGGTTACACTATCGTATCCCCCTAGAAGAAAAGTAAAACACTTCTAATGTCGGGGTTACTACGTATTTAGATGTTGCTAGAATTAACGAAAACCGTGGTTGGAAAGTGCCTTACCCATAACTGGGATATTGGGATAGTCCATTACTATAGAACTATTTGGCTATTTCAAACAACATCTAAGTAGGTTTGTTCCAAGAATGTGGGAATGCTCAACGAAGTTCAAGAACTAGGTTTGAGAATTTTGAAATAGAAGAGTTTGCCGGATTTTGCGCGTGATCAGATCATGTGATCCTAAATGATTAGGGTAACGTGCTTGATTTCAAGGTTGCACCTACTTTTGCGGTTTCTCTTGACTTAGGAAGCAGCTTACAAATGATGATGCAGGGACAAATTTTCCTACCTACACATACGGGCGAATCATCAAGTAGTGAGTCTAATGGTAAGTGGGCGTGGATCCATTTGTTCATAAAGGTGCGTGGTTTTTGAAGTGATTAGGACAACCCATATAGCAGTTGTTTTACGGGTGGCGATTCGGATCTAAAAGTTGACTAGTCAGACATGCCAAAGTCATCCAAAGTCGATGTGTGAAGTTTCCAGGCTTTCATCGGAACCTTGGTTAGTACCGAAACATGGCTGGTCGGTGGTTCGGAACATTTTTTTTATTTTCCATCAATATGGGATAATCCTTCCCATTGACTCATATTTTTCAGAGGGGTAGGTATACCACCAATCAGATGGCCATGTATTTAGGGAAGATGGGAAATCCAGGAATTCCACAAGGTTCAATGGGTCACTTCGTATGTTGCCCGTTTGCCCAGTTTTTTGGAAAGACTTTCTTTGGACATAGCCAAGCTAATTAACTAAATCAGTTCAACATCAACGTAGTGGTAATCAACCTATACTAAATCAGATGTTTATATATGAGCTGATTGGGGAAACTAACGTATATAATATAGTAATTGTGTTTGTTGACCAACCTATACTAAGCAACCTGTTGATTTATCAACCTGATTTGTTTGTTGCTGATTCTTCCTATACTAATTTTCATACTAAGCAACCTAATGTGTGTTTTGTATTGTTTTGTGTGATGGGTATTTCTGGATCAAGGGTGACTCTCGTTAGGAAGATGTATGTGGCGCCACTGTTCAACACCTTGCGGGGCAACGAAGAGAACCAGGTTCGATATGGACATGTCGCCCAGTGGAGTGGAAGATACGGTGCCAGTGGTGCTTAAAAAAAAAAACAGTTGGTGGTGCTACCCCACAGTTATGGCCCTTTACCAGTTATAAGTCAGTAAAATAACCCTATTTATGGAATGATAAGCTCATAGCCATAAAAAGAACTGGTATTTTGGGCTTTAACTACCATTCTGTCGGTTTAGTTTCGCCCCATTGTCTATGGATATGTCTACTTTCAACCATAGTTGAACTAGTGAAGTAAACCATCTAACTCACTGGATGAAGATTGAAAGGTTTGGCATCAGGTGCCCCCAAAGAGATAATGAGGCTATTGATGTTTCATTATCCAACAAAAGCATATATATATATATCCACCAAAAAACATTTATACCCTGTGGTAATTCAACATAGCTATGGAAAATCACCGGTATATAGAGTTCACCTAGCTATAGAGCAAGGTATCTAAGATATCTATCTTGCTGGGCCACACATTGTGGAACCCTTTGCATGTCAACCCCAGATCAAAAAACCACTGGGCATGGCAAAATGGGGGGGGATACCATTTGAAAAAGCAAGTGATGACTACTTGGTGGTTCATCTCACTTAGTAAATGGGTTATAACCCCAGTTATAAGTGGACTAACGCTACTTATCCCATAGAAACAACCAGGGTGAACTAACCCACATACGATCCGTGGGTAGTGAGCCACCAAGTAGTTAGGCGAATCCTCCTAGTCCGGGTTGACATACTTCGGGTTGACATGACTTGGATGGTTACGACAAAGGAAATCTAACACTTTGCCATGGAAAGCTCGGCTCAGAAAATATTTGTGGTAAATGGTCGACCCATATTTTTTTTCCGGCTAGGTTATGCTACTAGAGGGGAACACATTGTGTCATCCTTTACTTGTTTGGATTATTATCCATTCAGCGCTGTGGTGTATATAATTTTCGACCCATACCGGAGTCAGTTTGGACACCCTGTATCTGACAATGATGATTTGAACATGTTCAGCAGGATTGCTCCCACCTCCGTGTAAACGATAGCCACAATTAGCTAAAAAAAAGCAGTTGTTTCGTCCACTTGTATTTGGAGTATTGGGAGATACCTTGACCTGCTTACTTTCGGTTGTCTTTGGAGAAACCTAGTCAATACTGTCCCCGCTCATCATCAGATTTCCGTGACGCTTCTTATTGATTTCATTTTTTGCAGTCAGATCATGCCAAAACCAAGGGCCAAGCGGTTTTACTAGGCCCAAAAGCATCTCTACATGGGGAACACTCTTGGCCACTTCGTTTTTTTTTGCTTCATGATAGAGATTGATCTTTCTAGTTGGATGGGTAAACATATCCAACCATAGATGCATCATAATATCTATAGATATCCAACCATCATTCCCCAATAATCTATGGTAAACATGATGCAACTTCGTGGCGCCATAATTATTGGGGATGTATCATATCCCAAGTCCATCCAAGTCCATTGCGCCATGGTGCCAAAAAAAACATGGGAAATCACACTGCAGTCCGCCAGTCCACCCTCCAAGTAGCTGTTTAATCATCAAAAATCTCTTATCCATGGCCTTTTTTTTTCATTCTATAAAAAACCATGAAAACCATATTATTACATATATATATACAGTATACATACATATTGGTTAACTCCGTGAAATTCTGATGTTTGCTCCGGCAGGTGATTTTTGAGTACCAGCTGGCTCGCTGGTTGAAGGCTGGCGATTGGGACGACCAGCCGTTCAATGCTTGTGCCCGAAGGGCTGAGGACCCCAATGCAGTTGCCAAGAAGCAGCTTGGGATGATCTCAGCATGGTGGAAGAGTGGTTGATTTCTGGGATCATGCGATTTATGCTCTGGTAAACATACCAAAAACTATGGAACATCACCATTTTTTAATGGGTAAATCAACAGGCTAAATGGCAATTTTCAATACCGAACTGTTTGTTTACCAGAGGGTATATAGGGATGTTCATGAGGTTCACTGGGATCTTAGTGGGATTTACAGGGATTTTAGTGGGATTTCATGGGATATTGCTGGGATGGTTGCTGGGATTTAATGTGATAGTACTGGTATATGAAGCACCGTCTTCTGCTTTTATGTTGGCAAGGCTTGAACTGGGCAACATGCCATGAAAAAAACAACAGTGAACCTCTAGACTTGCCCCATGCTAGTTGGGGGATGGTCATGGGGTTGCCTCATCTTCAGCCGTGCCCATACATCTGCACATAAAGGTTAATGTATATATATATATATTATATATATATATTGGGTACACCTTGGATGGCTGGTTTAGTGCATAGTACCAATTCATGTGTTGCTATGGAAATAGGTAACAGGCTTAACCCTCCCATTGCTATTGGGTCAAAGATTGGGTACACCTTGGAGGTGCAGGACTGGATACCAGGGAAACCCTGGATTTGCAGGTTTTCTGGGCTGCACCAAACCCCAAAGCAGAAAGAAGCAGCTGCAAAGGTCATTTCCTCCGAGCAGGGTTATTCTCCTGTAGAATCTGGGAATCATAGAACAATGCTATGGACATATGGCGGATTTTCCCAATTGTTTTCTTTGATTACTGGAGAGTCAATAGAAATGTGACAAGACACAAACACCATCGGAACCTGTTCAGAAAATCTACATGTCAAACACAATAAGCACCCAGCTGTCTTAGAAATGATGGGTGTGTGCTATGAACGGTCCGGGCCCCTCAGTCAGGAGTCCATGGTGAACCGTCTTTGGAGCGTCATATGGCAATCAAAATCCACAAATCTCATGGTGGGTCATCACCTTCTCCATGAAAATGACGATGAGCCATAAAGAATAGCCTGGTTCGCAAAAATATGTTGCGACTTCTACCGAATTTACTGGGGATTCTCATAAGCCATAGTACGGAAACCCTACTTGGTGGCTCATCCCATCTGGATCGTAAGTGGGTTGTAACCCTGGTTGGAAATGGGTAGGGTTAGTCCACTTACAACTGGGGTTATAACCTACTTACTAAGCGAAATGAACCACCAAGTATCATCCAACTAGTATTTCATGAGGTGGGAAAATGGGGGGTATTTTTCATGGCGATATTGCATCGATGTGTTCACCATGGTCCAACTAGCAGAGCCCGACAACTTGCTGTGGCTGTTTTCTGTTTGCCGGGTCAGCCGTGGTGCCACCGTTGCTTGACTTGTTTCTGCTCCAAAATCCGTTGTTCTGGAAAAATGTGTTGCCCACATGTTGCCAATTTCTGACCCCTGGCTGATTGAATATTTACATTTCGCATGTTGCGACATTTTTTGGGCATATATATAGTAGATGTAATCCCCAAAGAATAGAAAAGTAAATTCCTACTGCAAAGTAAATTCCTAAGTCTATGTTCTATCTTTTTTTTGGTAACTATACTTTGTTTTGGCCTAAATCACCCATGTCTTCTGTATTGAGGGCACATAGTTTTTGACAGGCAAAACAACTAAAAACTCCCATCCTGAGCATGGGTGGCGTTTTTGGGCTGCTTGCAATGATGAGTAGAGTTTTCTCCCTGGTAATTAACATAGCTATGGAAAATTGCCCATTTATAGATTAGATGCTTTACTACCTTTTCAACATTGTGCGTTATTTTGTACGGTAACGACATTTAAATATGTGGAGGGCGGGCCAGACCGCGAGGCCCCGGAGGTAGTATGAAATACCAGTTCGTATATTTAAATGTAGTTACCGTATTTGTTTGAATTATGCAAAAGAAATGATTTAGAAGTTCCTCAATGCATGACCCCCCAGGATGGGTAATAAGCCAATCTGTATAGATCTGTATATAAGCCGACACTCAAAAAAAGGGGGGAGGGGCCATACTGCACCTGAGTTGCGAGTTCGGGCAAGGGCATCATCATTATGGGTCCCTGAAAAGTCTTTGGAAGGTGGCTGGGATCAGCGAACCCATGAACACCTCGAAACAGCTGAGGAAGTGAATAGTGTTCCTCTTTGTCAACCATGATGGGGAATCAAATTTCTAATTCGCAAACGGCTGCAACACATCGCATTTACCATGCACCTTGCCATGCTTTTGTGTGCGACGATCTGCCGCAACAAATGCTCAAAAGAACAAGGCCAGCTATATACCTTCATTATGGTTGTTTACTCGGTGGGTGCCTCATGTCGGAGGAACCAAATTGCCATGGGGTTTGCCCTGGTAATCAGAAAGCAGGAACAGCGCAGTGGCGCACTGACTCCTGTCTAAGGAGTTCATTGCCTGCGTGTTTGCTTTCTTTGTTTGTCTGGTTGGTTGGTTGGTTGGTTGGTTGGTTGGTTGGTTGCTTGGTTGGTTGGTTGGTTGGTTGGTTGGTTGTTTCGTCGGTTCGTTGGTTGGTTCGTTCGTTTGCTTGCTTGTTTGTTTGTTTGTTGGTTGGTTCGTTCGTTTGTTTGCTTGCTTAATGGTTTGTTTTTTGATTATTATCCGAAGTTTGTCTGCGTTCTTGGTTATTCTTGGTTAATTGGTTTGTTTCGATTTCCGTTGCCATATCCTACCTGGAGTGCTACTTCAAGTAGCTGTTTGCTGCTTGCTTTCCACAACAGCTTGGAGAGATTTTGTCCCTCAACTTGTTGCGGCGCTTTCCTTGCATCTAGTAAGGAGGCTCAGCTGGATAGCAGTTTCACCATGTTTCACCCATGATGCCATTGCTTAGACACGGAATGTGTTGTGGACCCCGACAGTTGTTCCAACTATGCACCTGCAGTTGAAGCGCGGGGCTTGCAGCAAACACACAGTCAGAGCATAGCATGAAGTTTTATAGAATGTTTTCGAAGGTGGATTTGCATGATCAACGCTTTTCAACGGTTTGGGGTACATGTAGCACATTTTAGCATTGCTGCATATGACGGTGGAATATTTGTTCAAACATTATTTTCCGTTTTACAGTCGCAGTTTGCAACAACAATTTTGGTCAGGGAGGCCCTCATTTAACTTGCATTGTCATTATATATCTTGCTTTCTTTCAATTTTGCGGTGTCTCAGGACCAAAAGAGTCTTGGTGACTCGGCGGAACAACATGTACTCCATTACGGGACAGGTATAAGCCCCACAATGGCAGAAACAACAGGGATGGGCAACAGATGGCAACAGTCTGGGGATTCAAAGAAGCAGATCATGTGTTTGAACATATATATATATATATATACGGTATTTTGCCCTAAATCCACTGGTTAGCGATCATTTTCCCAATCAATGGTACCAGCTGTCGGTTAACTACCCAGTTTTGAGATCCACCCCCTTGTTTAGAGTATATCGACTCGTCCACAGTGTTTGCTGAAATTATGCACTTGAGAGATTTTGGCCAATTCTTCAGCCACCCTCATTGGGCCGCAAATAGCTTGGTTGCATGGACACAACATCAAATTTATGGCATTGGGTATCCCACTGCTTGCACCAAAATCATGAATTGCGTCGTGGAGAGATATTTTGTCAATAGTGTGAAAAAAACGCAATAACATGCAATAAAATTGTTGCTCAAAACAGATGTATGCAAATGTATCATAAATTCAGTAAAAAAACAGAACCGGAGCGGAAATTGAGCAAATTGTCAGTTGAGTGGGCTGTGTTCCACGTGCCCGTGGGGATATAACAAACATCAACAAATAATGAAATCAATCCAGATTTCAATTTGATTGAAAATCGAAGTTCGTGGTCCCGAACATAGGTACAGGGCAGGCCTCGCAACACAAGTAGTGTTTGTTTCCCGTGGAAGACTTGAAACCGACCACTTCAATGCACACACACAGAGCTTTGTACCCTGAATATTTTGGATTATTGTATTTGTTGGATAAATATGTTCCCGGTTTGTGTCGCATCCATGTACTGGCTTGTTGCCGGACCGTGTTTGTTTCTTCTTAACACCAAAACAACAATTACACGATCATTTGTCTTAAATTTGGGTACCCCCAAAGCCATGAGTTTTCATATGTTTTCATACTGTAAATATGCTGATGATCAGTTGATGGGGCATATGTTTCTTTGGGTGAACCCATGCATATCGGTGATCGCTACGTGTTTTTGATGCTCTGGGACGATTTGCCTGTCAATTGATTTAAGTGTGCATTTCAGAGGCAACCCCCAAGTATGGGACGTCGAAAACCAATCTGTATTGGTAGCAACCCGTAGTGATTGTGAGCGTTTAGTGTGCCTGGTTTTTACCGTCTCATTTTGGGTTAATGACGGATGTACCAACCATTTCCAACCATTCAGCTAGCATCATAGCCCATGACCAGGCAATTATGGGCTGCATCCCGAAAAATCTGATGAACAAAAATTGCAGGAAACCTTATGTGTGGTTTGGTGCATCCATCTGAAACACTTTGTATCCACATGGATTTTCCTCAAGACCCCAGGGACTGAAAGGGGTCCACATAATACATGGTAGGATTGGTTGGGGGGAAGTTCCATTTCATTTATGCAGGTGCAGGGCCACAATTGTAGGGGTTCCAGATTCCGTGTGGGGATGAAGTTGCCATGGTGTCATCCCACTTCTATCGTAACTGGTGTTAGTTTTTGACGTGGGATTATCCCAGATACAATTAGCTTAAAACCCCACGGCCCCCACGGCTACTAGCCACGGATTAAGTGGGATGATCGTCCAAGCACCATTCATATCTCCCACCAAGTTCACCCCCAAGTAGCCTTCATTTGACTAAGGAGGTGGGCTGCGGTCAGGGCCGAATTCTCCAGGACATCGAAATGAAGATAGCAGATATCGCTCTCGAAAGTGATGTTACCGGTGTTCAAGAAACCGGAGATTTAGCCATCACAAATTTCGGTGGAGAGGAGTGTTTTGGGACAGAACAAGATTACGACGCCTCGATGTTTTTTAGTGACAACGATGAACGGTTGAACCAGCAAGAAAGGTTTAGAACATTTGACGGAATTAGTGCAATTCAAACGACTTACTATATTGTGGTTTAACGTTTCAACTGGAAAAACGTAGGGTTCCGTCCTTTGGGCAAGTAGTGCATGATGTGAAATCCGGTGTTTCTATGGTTTGCGGGCCGAATGAGCGTGAATGAGTGGGATAGACTGCTTGCGACAAGAAATTGGGATCAAATGTATTCAAATGTGGGATTCACGTCACCCTATGTTGTTGATCATCACCCGCTAGCTGCTCAATGGGTCAAATCCTCCCTCCTCTCTCTCTTTTTCTACAGACGAGCGAAGAATGTCTTCAAGTACTTCTCACAAACGAAGAAGATGTTCTCAATGCAGCAATCCGGTCTCTTTCCCAAAGACCGAGACCGGTCAAACCATATACAGTTATGGCCCTTTACCAGTTATAAGCAGTCATAACACCATTTATGGAATGTTTAATCCCACTTATAACCCGTTATAGTTATAAGTGATAAATCTTCAAGTTGACCACACACAACTTACTCACACACAACTTGTCAGCACACACAATTGCGTGGCAGGCGTGGCACTTGGCGACATGGACGTGCATTCTGCGTGGCAGGCGTTGAACTTATCGTACTGGGCTGGCTCCGGTGGCGCGCTTGGGCTGGGTTTGGCGCCGTGGTCGCCGCCGCCGTTTGCGTGGCAGGCGTGGCACTTCGCGACATAGATCTTCACGTTGCGTGGCAGGCGTGGCACTTGGCGACATGGACGTGCATTCTGTGTGGCAGGACACTTATCGTACTGGGCTGGCTCCGGTGGCACGCTTGGGCTGGATTTGGTGCTGTGGTCGCCGCCGCCGTTTTGCGTGGCAGGCGTGGCACTTGGCGACATAGATCTTCACTTTGCGTGGCAGGCGTGGCACTTGGCGACATGGACGTGCATTCTGCGTGGCAGGCGTGGCACTTATCGTACTGGGCTGGCTCCGGTGGTGCGCTTGGGCTGGGTTTGGCGCCGTGGTCGCCGCCGCCGTTTGCGTGGCAGGCGTGGCACTTGGCAACATGGACGTGCATTCTGCGTGGCAGGCGTGGCACTTATCGTGCTGGGCTGGCTCCGGTGGCGCGCTTGGGCCGGGCATCGACCTCCACTTTGCGTGGCAGGCGTGGCACTCATGGCACTAGGCTGGCTCTGGTGGCGCATTTCCCATTCATTCCCATTCCATCTTTAATTTACGTTTCTTTGCCGCTTATTGGAAGAAGTTGACATGTGGTGTTTTCCGGTCCTTTAATTTCGTACTATATTTTCGGCACAAAAAGAAACGATAACATTCTACGTACCATAGCAAAATGTTAATACTGCGTGCATGTTCAATAACTCAAGCGGTGATAGTCAGAGACTGTGCGGGACATGCATTCATCCACAAAGAAACCATTTTGACAAACCACTACAATTTAATTGGCATATCAATTTTGATTGTTTGTTTCACCTTGACCAGTTCTTGGCGATAGCAATTAATCACATGGATTACCTGGTGGGGTCCCCCTAGATAAGGGTTAAAACTAGATTCACTAGGGTTTATGGTAGTTATAAGTATAGATTATCTATAGGCTATAGGCATATAAAACAACTTATAAGTTGGAGACCCCGCATTGTAAGTATCAATCAAACAAAATGGTTGCAACAAATTGGGCTATGTCACAGTAGTTCTTTTACCAAATCAAGTTGTTCTACAGTTATGGCCCCCAATTTGGGGCTCGGCATTGCGTGACATGGACAACCAATCTTGATTTCATTTGCCCGCGCACCACCTGCTGAAAAACTGCCTCCATCCAGCACAGTCTGTTTTGCTGGTGTCTCACGTGTTTAAAGACATTAAAAGCAAGCATGCCACAGCTGACATGACCTTGCCGTCGAAAAGTGTTGCTACTGGATTCGATTGGATGGGGCCACCTGGCCAATGAGTTTGATGACAGCGAGGCCGAGAAAAGTTGTTTGTTCTCGGAAACACACTCCTGGGTGGAACAGCAAACGAGTTGGTTCTGGCAACAGGGCTGTGTGGAGGAACCATCAAGATCACAGTTGGTTACTTACAACATCCAATGCTTCGGGACCGAGCCAGAAAGCAAGGCTGCAAGAGACCGAACCAGCTACAATCCGAGCACGTCTTACAACCTCAGATTTCACCCAAGCAAAGTTCTGGTCAATGTGTTCTCAACTGTAGCTGCATGGAACTTTACCAGTTGTAAGTCAGAAAGTTACCCGATTTATGTTTTATGATGACCACAAAAAATCAGCATAAACATCACTGGTTTCTAGGGCTTAAATCCCTATGATCCTATGATTTTCCTACTCCTTCCCGTGTTCCCACTGGCTAGCAGGAGCTGGGTAGATTCCTGGGAGCAGATTGGAAACTCATGGGAGACTTGGCGGCGGTTTTCAACAGCTTGGCATGGCTCAAGGGATGGTGAGCCATGGTGGTTTGATGATGGTTGAACGAGTGTTCTGGTAACCGGAAAAAGAAAGACATTTTTTTTAACCCCACTAAAATAGAGGCAAAGTTTGTTTTCTATCTTTTTGGTGGTTAATATGATCGTAATAATGGATGATACATGATGGCACATGGTGGTTGAGAATGCTTGAAATTTCATGATTAGCATGGCTCCCTGGGCGTTAAATCCTGGGCCTTTATTCCGGAAAATCGATGGATGATGATCGATGTATATTTTATATATTATTATATTATATTATATTACATTACATTATATTATATTATATTATATTATATTATATTATATTATATTATATATATGTATATTATATATATATGTATATTAAATATATATGTATATTATATATATATGTATATTATATATATATGTATATTATATTAAAGATTAAACATATATATATATATAATAATTATATATCTATTATATTTATGAACGACGGATTTTTTTGTTGTTAAATGGACAATAGTATTGTGGCGTATCCCGGTTTGTCAAAAACTTCATAATTGGGCAACGAGGTAGGAACACCCAGTCAATTGCGTTTTGCACCAAATAACCCCCGCGGATATGTATACATACACATATTTACAGACGATAGGTCGCAAAACTGTTACCTACTTTGATGATCATTGATGTTCATCCTACTGAGTAATTGGCAACAAGTGGGGTGAGAAACCAGTCATCAATGGTACCAATTCAGACCCTGTCGATCTCTATATTCTTATGTGAATATTTGTTTGATTGTTTGATTATGTTAGACAGGTGCTTGCCCACTTACCAAGTGACAAGGACATGAGAGAAGGTGATTTCACAGTGACCAAGGCAGATGCAGAAATAATGGGTGGGTTTTGATGGTTTGGCTGTTCTCTATTTAGATAAAACCCCCCATGGTTTGTTGAGAAAGAACAATTTATATACAATGTGGTGCCTTGGAACTTTTGGATTGTGACTGGGTAGTAGTGTCAGACAGGAATTTTTTGAAATAGGGATGAATTAGAAATACTGATTGTTATGCTGAACAGTGCAAGACTCGAGTGTGAAGAATTGATTGATTAATTGAAGGGGCCACCCCTTTTTTGTCAACCAGTAGGCACAAGAATATTTTTGACCTGATTGGAATATCAAATTGGTCATTCTATTCTTCCAAAAAATTATAAACATCCCCCAATTGTGCGTTGTTTTAAGATCAATACGCATGTCGGTGTGAGTTTTCTTTAGCTTGCTTGCTGCTGTTTCTTCGCGAGTTTGGGTCAGCTATTTCAAGTATATTCCGCATCTTACAACCCCAACACGTCAAAAAACTCAGACGTTCATCCTGGGCATGCACGGCTCATCCCCAAAATCACAGCAATAGTTGGTTAGAAGTACAAATAAATCCATACCTCGTGGTTCACCGCAGTTAGTAAGTAGGTTAGTTCACCCCACTTATAGCTGGAAGCCCGACCCTACTTAAAGCTGGACTAATCTCATCGATACGGACTCAATCTTCATGTTGACCTCAATTTTGGTTTACAACCCCGTAAAAATATAGACAAGAGATATACCTACCATAAACCCTCGTTAAGCCTCGATTCCAGGAATGAATCTGGACGGAAACCAGTTGAGACACGCAAAGGAACGTCCAGTTGAGGCGCGCAGAAAGTGGGCGAGCACAGCTCGTGGGCGATGATGACCGGTTCGTGGTTTGGAACATGAATTTTATTTTCCCATTATTGGGAATGTCATCATCCCAACTGACGAAGTCATATTTTTCAGAGGGCCAGGTATACCACCAACCAGATGAGGAATCCTGGTGATAGAAGGTGGTTCAGTTGGTTGATAGCTAGGTTAACATTGGAGTTTTAAGCCATTTATAGCAGACATAGAAAAATGATACGGCAATCAAGACCAACAAATTCTGTTTTTTGTTTGGGAGATGAACATAAATTTCAAGCTAAATTTTGACATGACTAGTAGGTCGCCAGCCTTTTGGACCAATAGTCATACATGGAAATGTGATGGGAAAGTAGAAGTTGGATAGATTGGCTACTGGCTACATTGCCATATTATGGTTTCCCATATTACTTAGCCAGTTGATATGGTTTCATCATGCGTCATCGAACATGATTTCTTACATACAATGATCCATGTCGATGTTGAATTGCCAGTGGGTACTGTAGCACAACCATAGCCTGGCTAGGTATTGCTCAAAACCAAGATCAAGAGCCCATGATACATCGCATCCAAATCCCAACATTTGATTGATTTCATAAATCCAGATGTTTTGCACGTGAAGATCCATCGAACATCCACGAAATCCGCCGCAAATCCACCATTTCCATCAGTTAGACCCTCCATTTGTTGTGGCCCAAACTCTCCATTTTTGTGGCGCCGGAGGTGACGATGAGAGACTTAAACCACATGCCCTACGACTGGATCGCCAATGCCTCCGCACCCTGAGCTCTCGCCCAGAGGGTGGGATCACCTTTTTTTGGATGTTTTTTTCCTTTGAGACTGGCAGTGATAGTTTGATGTTGTTTATTTAAGAGTTTGGCACTTTAATCTGTTGCTATAAATCTGGATATCAACTAATTGTTCAAGATTGGCAATGGTTGGGTTTGATGGGACATATGATATTGTTCGTTGATGGATCCAGACTGTTGTGTGGTTGCATGTACCTTGACCCGTAGCTGACCCATAAGAGAGGGCGCCCGGCGGGTCCCAGTGCCAAAATTTGTTTGTTAAATACATATTCTTTGGTGGCAAATTGAGGCAGCAATGCACAATGATCGGGGGTGTGATCAAAGAAAGTTCAAAAGAGAAGCTTCCGAGTTAGAAACACATTGGAGCTGTCACTAAAGCACCTGAGTTAGTCTGAGAGTTGAGGGAAGGGATGGAGCTAGCTGGGTAGCTGAACTCTCCAATCTTATGGTGATAGTATGGTGATAGTATGGCTATAGTATACAATTTTTGCAATTTATGCAATTTATTCCATTGAACAGCCATTGAAGAGCCATTTATGCCATACAACTACCTAACTACCATGATATAACCGTAATCATATGTTTTTTTCACAACTCGGATTCCGTTTTTTCCTTTCAATCCAACGACCCGTCTGTTACCATTGCCGGAAGCGGCGGAAACCGAGGTCAATGGCGCCTATAACTTGGGCGCCATGACGTTTCAGCGGGACCTGGAAGAACACGCGCAGGAAATGGCGCGGATCCTGACACCAGGCCGGGCGGCGAAGCTTTTGGTGTCGAAGCCAGGGGGTGTTGAATTGCGTTGAAAGGAAGAAACCATTCTGGGATATGGGTTATGTATGGGATATTGATGGCATATTGATGGTATTAATGTGGGTAAAACAAGAGTTTTTCATAAACCACATATAAAACTGGGAACGGTAAGTTTATACCACCTATAAAAATGGGGATTTTTTGGGGATGGTAAACATGACATTGTTTTGCCCACATTAGGAGATGGGGATTTAAATTGTTTGAACCTGGGATGGTTCACGAACCGAGAACCACTCCCATCTTTGGCCCCCAGTCTGAAATCTTGATGCAACGCCCAAAAAAGCGAAGCTGGCTAACAAGATAGACAGATGTGCACCATCTTGTGGATGAATTTCAGTTTCTGTATAAACTGATCATGGATCAAGACCCCTGTATCAGTTTTTTTAACACCACGACGGTTCGTGTTTATAGATCTTCATCCCCCGTGTCATTGGTCTCATGGTCGGTTTCCACAGCACAGTGATGCATAAATCCACAATTAGGGGACCTTCAAAACAGCGCTATGATTATTCATCACTTGTCCCAATGTTCTGTTGATTTTACCATCATTTCCATATCCTAAAGGGCATCTATATATGTTTCTAGGTCAGTAGCATCTACTGATTTCAGTGGGTCTATTTGTGCTGAAATCAGTGGCTGACTAACCCCATGAATAGTATAGATTAAACACATATATAATATATCTACCATCAACCACATCAATCACCTTGTTTACAAGTTGATGTCCCCACAGTGAAAGAAAATATGATTTATGATTTCCATCAACTATATAGACTATAGATCTAAATGGCTCTACATATATATATAAATATATTTCATATAGTTAGATAGATAGATAGATGGATAGATGGATCGATCGATCCACCATAGAAATCGGCTGGTTATGTTTCACCCAGCGGGTTGCCAGAAGAGCTGACAATGTACATTCAACGCTCACAGGGATCGTATTTGGCAAAGGAAGATTCCGGAAAATGCCATATCTCTTCCCGACAGGATAGTATTCATGTAGTCTAGATACTCCAAAGATCATGGATAGATGTTTTTTAGATATCATGGTCTAGATCTTCTGTAATATCTATCATTATCTCAAATTTGGAATCAGCAATTTATACATTATACATATTATATATAATTGATAGGTATTCCATATTTGTCCATATTATTCATAAACATATTTACCTATCCATATTATATATATACACATATGATACACGCACATATACATATACATATTCTTGTTTATTTATCCATATGATACTGTATGATACATATATCATACCCTCTGGTAAACAGTTCGCTATTGAAAATGGCCCAGTCGAAATAGTTGATTTACCCAGCTATAAAGCCAGGTGGATCTTTCCATCGTCTTTTGGGACTGTTTACCAGAGGGTATCACCTTTATCAACCATTATTAACCATGATTATTAGCCATTAGCCATCAAGATGGGTAAAACCACCAGCCAGATCATTGTTAGTTGCGATTTGTTGAGTAATGATATAATTACTTTAATAAACGTATCTATTTTATATATAGTAACCATAATAGTACCATATAGTAACCATGTAGCATATATACATATATATATATAAATGTCATGTGTAGGCAAATTGGTCTAGATCTCCGCTCCAAGGATCACGCTTCGTGGTGGCCTGCGACTGGACCAATTTCGACGTGCCTTGGTGGCCTTGGTGCCGCCACGCCGTCCCAATGTGGTGATACCACGGAAGATGGGCATTTCATCGTGAAAAAAGTGGAAAGAAAACCATGAAGAGTCAGTGGATTTCACGGATTTTACCGAGTGAAAAAAACGATGATTTTTGCTGAGCCAGGCTGATATCATGGAGATATAGCTCAACAATGATACAGATGAGTCCAGCAATGGGATATAACTTATAACCATGAAGGGGTGGTGATATAGAACCCAAATCTGCTTGGTGATTCTCTTTTTGCTGTCCATTTCGGGAATGTAAAATGTTGCTGGCAGGAAAATGTAGGTTTCAATGGGAACATCATCGAACTAAATGGTTGATGTTCCAGCCAGCCATGTTTGATTACCGGAGGGTATTCAGTAAAAGATGTTTCTTCGCTAGTCCTGCAGTATCATCAAACAGCGATTCGGCATCATGTCCAAGGTGATGCCGATGTTTACGTCAGCTAAGTTGGTTTAGTTCACTAGAAGAGCGAGTTGCTTTCTGGTGATGAAATAGTTTGCAACCCCCAAACAGATGCAGACTGCGAATGTATCAACTGTTTTGTGATTCGGATTTGACGTGTCTATTTAGTTGTTTGGGTGTTGTCGATCAACCAAAATAACTGGCGAAAACCACCTCGCAACATGGCGCTCTCAGGATGAGAAGGGACTGAACCTGAAGGACAGGGCGACAGGGCGCCATAGGCTTCGGATGTCGGTATGTTTGCATCAAATCATATTTGCAGGATTTTGTGTTTCCCTATATATATATATACATACATATACACATGTTTGTGATTTTTGAATCCAAATACATCCTGGCATCAAATCTAATACTGATACTACCTGAAATCATACGCCAAACACCTCCTCAGAAGGTATGTAGAAGTAAATTGGTCTATAAAACCATTTATATCCATTTATATATAATATTGTAAATCATCCAAAACAATAGTTGTATCAGTTTTAAATTTAAACCAACTTAAGTATCACAAATCACATAAATATCCGTTTCCTCTTGGGTATACTATGTAAATCCCTAGTTAGGGATAAACCAGCTCAAGTATGTCAATTCCTAACAGTTAAGCAGAATCCAGTTTATCAACTTATATCTCACATATAAATCCCTACAAGGTGGTGCCCGACCCCAGTTATGTTTGTTGGTGTATGTTCACCCCATCAACTAGTTCGATGTATCTACCATAAACCATAGAATTCACCTAGCGAACAGCACTTTAAGCCAACTCTGCTAAATATGGGGCAACACCTTGTAGGGATATATATATATATATAGTTGAGATATATAGCTGGGATATATCCAATTTCGATAGCATCACCTGAAAGTCCCCATCCAACTTAACCAAAATCCCAAGAGTTAAGCACAATCCAGTTGGATTAACATAGAAGTCACCAAGTAAATCACCTAGAAATCCCCATAAATCACATAAAACCAGGAAAACTCATGTGTAAGTCCCTATAAAATCTATAAATCCCTCCTTGTGAGGCCTCCAAGATAGCTAAGTTGGTTTATAAGTCCAATAACTATGGTATTTATAACTATAGTTAATGGGGCTTATAAACCAACTTATAACTCGGGGGCCTCACATGGTATAAATCACCTATAAATCTTGATTTGCACCCATCATTTCCACATGCAACGCCCTGGAAAATCGGCACCCAGGACCTCGAGCATCGGCGGCTGTGGAGCGGCGCACGGCGCTTGGGCGCGGCGGGGCGCTACTGCTACAGCGAGAAGGAGTTCCCCGAGCCGCGGACAGCGGGGAAGTTTGACAGTTTCACCATGTTTCACCAGAGTTATGGCCATTTATATAGAAGTGGTTATAACTGGTATCTGGTGATTTCTATAGTGATTCATGGTGATTAATGGTGATAAATAGTGGTTAATAATGGTTAATAGTGGCTAATAGTGATTGATGATGGTTACAACTGGTGATTTCTATGTGATTATACATTCCATTTTTATGGTAGTACTTGTATACATGGTAAAGGGCCGCAACTGCGAAAATTCGATGAAACCAACAGTTATAAAACTCAGTTATGAGTCAATTGGGAGTCAGATTATAAATCAGATATAAGTCATTTGTAAGTCAGATTACCACTTATGAGTCAGTAAGTCAGCCCATGTATCGAATGATTACCCCATTTATATATATATATAACCACAAAAAATAACTGGCTGTAGGGCTTCAACCGTAGAAAGCAACAGAAACTAGGAGTTTGCTGAGTCCATGATTTTGGGGGGGTGAGGGCTGGTATGGTCTAGTGGATAAGATGCATCATGCGTCAGCCCCGGGTTCAATACCCGGGTGTAACAGTGATCAATGGAGGTTTGTAATGGGAAGATCATCCAACTGTGGGGAAAAATCCAGCAAGCCATGTTTCATTACCGGAGGGTATGTTAGTTAATTAGTGATTTCATCTTGATCATGAACACTGTGATTTACCAACATTACCGGAAATTGGGGGATTCGTCAAAACCACCACCATGATGGGACTTTGGCCAGCATGAACTTGGGATTTGTGCAACGGAAATCGTGACTTCGGAAGGAGGAAAGTGTGCAGTGATATTCTATATCCAGAATTTTATCAATACGTTATCTGGTATAAGGACTTGTCGTGGTTGGTTTTATACACCACCTTTGCTGTTGAATCTTCAGTGGTCAGGGTTGAATCCACTTGATCCGCATGGTATACCATCCCGATCCAAACACCTCCTTTTCGGCGTTCCCGGCTAACCCCCCAGTCATACCCCAGTGACATTTCCTAAGGGCTGGATCCATGCCGGGGGTTCCTGCTAGGTACGTGGCAGCCTTCACAAAGTATAACTTCAAACATGTGCCTTGATGGCAATGGGAACCAGGGTGGTTTCCGAAAAAACATTTGGAAAAACCATGGTTTCCTTGGGAAAATGAGCTACGCATAGTGGGTTTTGCACATCTATGTTAGTTTACCAGAGCGACCTTTTGTTTAGGGCAAAATATAGGCCTTTTTTCTAGGGATTTGCGTTGGATTAGGAGAATCGTTCCATTTCTTTGGAACCATTAACCATTCCATATTTTTTGGACATCAGATACTCCAGGGCAATTTCCAGTTTTTCAGGCATGTGATGTTTTACTATCAAACTAAGGTGAGTTTGATTATCAACCAGCTTTTGAAATTTCTTCAAGGAGAGCTTCAAGGTGTGTCATTTTTGGGCTGGATTGAATTGGTGATCCCAGCATGGAAAATCTGGGTTTAGTAGTGATTAATGATTACAAGATATTACAAGTAGTTCTGGGTTTATGTGTCCGGGTGGTGTTGAAATGTTCAAATCTGCTCCAAAAGAAGGTGCACAGCGAGCTCTATGGTGTGCGCTATGTGCAGGCAACATGTGCACCCTGGGAAACAGTCGGCCACTGCACACCACCCCCAACTGTAGAGTAGGCTAGTCATGCCAACCCGGGTTGCAATCTTCCTTATTTGACTTATAGGTAGTTCCAAGCCCATCCAACCCCTTTGATCACTGAGCCGATAGAAATGGATTGTATAGTGATCCAAGTGATCCCCCAAAACGATAGAAGATGATATATGAGTGCATGTATATATATACATACACATTATGTATATGTATAAATAAAATCAAACAAATAAATATGTATATATATATATGATTATATATGCATATATATATGTGCATGTTGTTGACAGACTGATCAGAATCGTGGATTTCCCAAAGGAGGGAGCTGATGGGAGCTGGGCGACATGTGTGTTCTTTCCTGATTATATAGTATTATTTCTGTTGTTTCTTTCTGTCGTTTTCTTTGCATTTCTGATTTTCTGCGTTGCTACTTTGTTGCTTTTCCATTTTTGCTTCTCCGTTGTCTTTCTCCCCTTTTCTTTTCCGTTTCTTTGCTGGTCGGCTTTTGCTTTTTGCGTGCTTCTTGCAATCGCTTAAGCAGCCAGCTCAGGTTCTACAAGAGGTGGAGAGAGAAAGACATTCGCTGCAGAGAGAGAAAGAGATTCGCTGCAGAGGAAACTGAAGCGGGCGAAAACATAGGTGGATGCGGAGAACTTCCGCATGGTGCAGGATGAAAAACGTTGGAAGCAACGTCTTCAACTCCCAGTGCCAGGGCACCTTGTGCTGCGAGGGTGGCATATCCTTCCCCACCACAGATGGCAGACTTGGGGGCGATCACCGAAGCTGTATCGCCGAGTCACCTCTAAAAATGACCTCAAACAAGACACAAGAACTTGGGGTACAGCATGGAAACCTGTTCTTATGGGTAAACACTGGTCAACTGAGGGTCAAGGATATAGTATGATATAGTTTAGTTTGTGCAGAGTTTGTAAAGCAACCCCAAGATCTAAGCCCAGACGTATTCGGATTTTCATAGTGAGATGATCACAGCTCATGTTATCTCATGTGGATCATTACATCTCTTTCAATCCCCATGATGGTTTCAGACCCAACTGCAAAGGTTTGATAGCTTTTACACCCCATGTTCTTTATAATTTGATGGTTCATATAGCGTAGAGGTACATGGCTTTGTCAGAAAATAGTGCACCCCATTCCATCCACTGGTTTATCATCATTTCCCTGGTACCCCCATGCACCGATTTTGCTTGCTTTAATCCAATATGTTTGTTAAACACTCCTACAATGAAGGTGGTGCCACCTACTCATAAGTGGGTTTATTGCCTATCTACTTGTACTTGTAATCACCGGTCAGGCCCGTCACAGTTCTTCGTTCGCGAAAATTCGACCAACTTAGCCAGGGGGCACCGGCTTATTATATCCATCAAGATTCTGGGGATTGGCATCCTCCAATTTGTTCGGGTCATTTCATCTCCCGATAGATCCCCCATTCAATCGTAGATTCGTAGCGCTAGACAAGCGACAAAAATCTGTTTACCGACAAAGCTAGCAGTGCTTCCTTTTTTTATGCTTCGCAAAATCCAGGTTGTGTTCTTTTCTGATTTGTTTGACTCAAAAGTGAGTCATGTATGCACACCCAGTCCTTGGGGGATGGTCGTCAATCCATTTTTGGTTGGATGACCATGAAGAGATTTCACATTTTGATCGCACATATGTCACATAGATTGGAGAAGCCTCCGGATTGATGATTTGCGCAAGTAAAACCTCCGAATTACAATGTGAGTTAAACATTCCTTTAAACATGTATACATCTATAACATGCAGTTCAATTATCCTATAATACATACAGTATATATTATATATATAATAATCCTTTTTGTTAGGGTTTGTTTTCCCTATAAACAGAAGTTGCTCCGGCAACATTCCGAAGCGACAGGCCTTGCGTGACGTCAACGTGCTGCGCGTCCTGGCTGCGGAGTGGATGCAGCTCGTGGCCAAAGTGGACCTCTTTGGCGTTCTGGACCAGGACGGAACCGTTTGAGAAACGTCGATGAAAAATGAGGGATCAGTAAGGGATGAAGAAAACCATTGCTATGATTTCAATAAACGAACATAGCTATGGAAAACCACCATGTTTAATAGGTAAATCAACTATAAATGGCCCTTTTACCAGGATCTAGCTATAACCAGGATCCATACCCTCTGGTAAACAAACAGTTCGCTATTGAACATGGCCCAGTGGTTTTATAGTTGATTTCGCCAGCTATAAAGCCAGGTGGTGATTTTCCAGTTCGTTCTGTGAAAGTTTACCAGAGGGTATAGGGATTTAAGCATTGAACCATCGAAACATATGAATTTGATCAGTAAATCTGTGGGTATACGGTATACGGGTATAACGAACGAAGACCAAGAATATTTGTCATTTCATGATATCTAAGTTGGTTTAGTTATAGAATAACTGTTGGGACTAGTGGGTTAATGGTACTGAAATAACTAACAGGAAATTATAAATTATAAACCTATAGAATTGGCGGGCACCACCTTTGAAAGATGGGTGGTGAAGGACATGTATGCCATTGTTCGGGGAAAATGAGACAAAATCATCAGTTGATGGGGAAAAATGTCGGTGGCAGTGGTTGGAGCAATTTTTTGTGAAAATAAAGAAATAAAATCATTTGATGGGGGAATCGCTGGGAAATCGTACTTTCTGGGCATTTGTTCTCACAAGATCACGATCAAAGCCTATTTATGATCTCTAGTCAGATTATGTCAAGTTTGTTTATTGGATCCAAGTGACGAACTAATCATGTGTGTGTGAGTGAATTATCATACTGTTGCCAGATGGGCAGAATACTTAATAAAATGGATCATAATTTAAGCTTGATGGCTAGGCCTCTTAGGAATAGTAAATGAAATGATGAATTCCGTTGGTGGATGTTCGAATCACTTGTTCGCCTAATATAGATCCAGCTGTGATCTCTAGGGGTGTTTGGTGTTGTTTGCCCGTTGCTAGGTGGCTGGTCATACAGATGTTCACATGTTATAAGCGGGAACAGTCAATTTTTAACTTATAAGGTCATAAGCAAATAATCCAAGCTCTTTCACTGAGTCTTTCACTATTGTTTTTGAACTCCACTTTGTTTCTTATTGGCTTTATTGGTTACTTCAAGCAGAAACCAATATCTCCAAAACTCCAGGGTCTTGGAACCATGAAATAAGTTCAAAGATTCTTCCAGTGTATATGGTATACAACCAGTTCATTTTTAGAGTACCTCTTAGTATTGTGTTTTATTTCTGTGCCCGTTTGTGTCATCAAAAACTGTATGCTGCAGAATCACCCATTTCGTTCGATGATTTCCCAATGTGCCCATGAATTCAAAAACGGGGGTTGTCCAAAAGCCGTGTTTGATAGGCGTAAGATGGCGTAAGTAGATTGATGAAGCCCATACATATCCATTCACCATATTGATGTCTCCCTCCCATGGTAGCATCGATTCGCATCCACTCGGTCGAGGCCTTGACAATGATGCAGCGCTTTGGTACTGATGTCGAGAATGCCTTGGAGGCTCACGATCGCCACTTCGGACTTGACGATGGCGAAAAAAGGAAACCACAGGGATTCTAAGCTATGGAAATACCAATGATATGGAGATTATGGAGATACAGATTTTAAAACCATCAGATTCTAAGGATTTACAGGTTGGAAATTGATACTTTGAAGTTTTTTTCCAGATATAAACCTCTATTGGGGATGTCCCATTGCCACTTTTGATTTCCGGATGGTACATTACTGACACATTCACAAGACGATATGGACATGCCAGTGATTGTTTTTTGAACATGATCGACATGGTGGGTTCTCCATATCTATGTTAAGTTAGTGGAGGGTATAGTCTAGGTAGAAACCCAACAATCTAGGTGAAAACGGTGAAACAATTGGAAAACGCTGTGTTCAAATAGTACATCTACATACACGTTACATTCGAATGCTCTGTTCGGTATTTTGAAGGAGACCCTTATCTGTTCCCACTGGGATAAGCAATTAAGGCATCCGAACGTACCTTGACCCTCGGTTGACACAAAAAAGTGTTACACATACATGAAGATGAATAAATTACAATAAATTGAGGTGTCTTGTTTTTTTTGCTATATGATATCAGATGATATCATGGTAACATGCCGATGCTTCAACCCCTGGGCTGAGGCAAACTCTTCACCTACTGTGGCAGCCACGTTTTTGAGCTTCAGCGCTGAGCAGCGACCAGTTTCGCTGAGAGCTACACGCCCAGCTATGCGGCTTTATATTTTCCAGTGCCGCTGCGCTGCGCTGCGGACATCTTCCATGGAATTTAAGGATGGAGCAGGTGGAAATTTTAACGTCAATTGACCAGTATGACAAAAAAACGCATAATTTCAGACTATCGTTTTAGTATTGTTGTAATATGTGTCAATTGGTCAAAGTGTGATCTTTGGGTGTGTTTGAAAAAACAATCGAAGGACGGGACGAGGACAAAGTCTTCGAAAACAGAGTCCATACCAAGGGTATGGCAAATCAATGGTATGATACAGGGGGTGGTTGCATTATTGATGTTGCTACTTTTTCAACATTGACCCTCACTATCCAGTGCACGTGGCATTTTGGTTGGTTGAGAATCAAATGTGAACCATGTTATATCTGACAACTCTGTACCACTGTGGCCACATCAAGCCATTGGGTACCACTGAGCCGTGCGATTTAAACTCTGCTTTGGGTGATGTGGTGGTTTGAGCGTCGGACCATAGGACCAGCTAAGCAAAAATTGATTGAATTGGTGGATTCTGGAGGAAACCAACCAACTTCAAGTTTTAAGATTGAAGAAACCAACCAATTTTTATAGGCTGGTGCACTGGATGTTTCAATACGGGTCGATGGATCTATTTTGGGGTGTCAAATTCTTGGTGAATTTGGTCACCAGTCACCAGTCTTGGCTTGTAAGCTTTCCATGTGACCTATACGATGTGATGCCCAATACTTTGCCAAGTTGATCCCTATTAACCAGTGCTTATACTGACGGACTTGCACTTAGAACATATTTTGGAAAAAAACATAAAGAAAACAGACACGCATACATATTTTTTAATAAATATAATATATATATATAATTATAATTATAATTATATATATATATACATATGAACTTGCATTTGGAAGACTCTGTATACATATATTTATATTTACAGAATTCCAGCCAAACTGAATCCAATCTCTTCTTGGGCATCCGGTTCCTTATCCACCTTATCTTGAGGGCTTGTGCATAGACTAGAGACTAGACTCCACTTGGCTGAGTTGTATTCTTGGTTTCCAGGATGCCCACAGGTAGGTGGCAGAGACTACACTTAGAACATCCAAAATTAATCCAGATTATGTTTTAAAAGATCTAGACGCATGGTTCTGTTCCTTTTCTTCAGGTCTTGTATTTGGCTAAAAACCTTATATATGTTCAATTTCCAGGAGGCCCATAGATAGGTGGCAGGGTCTACACTTAGAACATCCCAAATTGATCCAAATTAATCCAAATTATGTTTTAAAAGATCTAGATACGTAGTTCTGTTCCTTTTCTTCAGGTCCTGTGCATAGACTCCATTTGTCAAAAAAAACCCTCTATATTCTCAGTTTCCAGGATGCTCACAGGTTGGCAGACTCTAGAAGTGTAGTTCTGTTCCTTTTCTGCAGGTCTTGTGCATAGACTCCATTTGTCAAAAAAAGCCTTTATATTCTCAGTTTCCAGGATGCTCACAGGTATATAGTTGGCGGACTCTAGAAGTGTAGTTCTGTTCCTTTTCTTCAGGTCTTGTGCATAGACCCCATTAGGCTGAAGAACCGTGTATATTCTCAATTTTCCATCAGGCCCACACGTAGTTGGCAGAGTCTACACTTAGAACATCCCAAATTAATCCAAATTATGTTATAAAAGATCTAGACGCGTAGTTCTGTTCCTTTTCTTTTGGTCTTGTGCATAGTCTCCATTAGGCTCAAAAACCTGCCATATTCTCACTTTCCAGGAGGCCCATAGATAGGTGGCAGAGTCTACGCTTAGAACGTCCCTAATGATGTTTCAAATGATCTAGACGCGTGATTCATCCTGGTTCAGCCACCTATCTCCGGAGGGCGTATGCAGTAACTCCATTTAGTATTCGACCATTTTTGAGCCCCAAATTATCCAAAATTTATAACAATTTTACTATTGAAACCTATGCTTTTTAACTACCCCCAGTAGGAAACCTACAAATTACCAGGGCAATGTTTTTCAGCAGCAGTGAGGGGAGAACGTGTTCTAAGTGTGGTATAGTGTGGTGTTCACAATGGTATTTGTGTGTGTATGCCGTGCAGATTTACCAAACTCACTGGAAATGTTCTAAGTATATGGTCTGTTTATGTTCTAAGTAAGAACAAATCCATGGAGATGTTCTAAGTATATGTTTTTTTTAAAAAAAAATGTTTTAGGTGCGTACTTAGAACACATTCCTATGTTCTAAGTATGTGTGTTTTTTATGTTCAAAGTACGGGCTGGATATTTTGGAAAAATATGTTCTAAGTGCAAGTCCGAAAGTATACGGAGAATATATATATATGTATAATTATATATATATGTATAATTATATACATATATATATATAATATTTTATCTATAGTTTGATGGGCTTATACACCCACTTGACTGGGGGGGAATCACGTTGTATCGTCCAACCATTCTTCCTGGCAGCGGTTCCAAAAGTCTACTCGGCAGTCGGAGAACAAATCGATCAGTGCGGGGGGGCAGACGGCTTGACGATGAAAGACTGGTGCTGTGAAAACAGAGTCCATACCAAGGGTATGGCAAATCAATGGTATGATACAGGGGGTGGTTGCATTATTGATGTTGCTACTTTTTCAACATTGACCCTCACTATCCAGTGCACGTGGCATTTTGGTTGGTTGAGAATCAAATGTGAACCATGTTATATCTGACAACTCTGTACCACTGTGGCCACATCAAGCCATTGGGTACCACTGAGCCGTGCGATTTAAACTCTGCTTTGGGTGATGTGGTGGTTTGAGCGTCGGACCATAGGACCAGCTAAGCAAAAATTGATTGAATTGGTGGATTCTGGAGGAAACCAACCAACTTCAAGTTTTAAGATTGAAGAAACCAACCAATTTTTATAGGCTGGTGCACTGGATGTTTCAATACGGGTCGATGGATCTATTTTGGGGTGTCAAATTCTTGGTGAATTTGGTCACCAGTCACCAGTCTTGGCTTGTAAGCTTTCCATGTGACCTATACGATGTGATGCCCAATACTTTGCCAAGTTGATCCCTATTAACCAGTGCTTATACTGACGGACTTGCACTTAGAACATATTTTGAAAAACATAAAGAAAACAGACACGCATACATATTTTTTAATAAATATAATATATATATAATTATAATTATAACTATATATATACATATACATATGAACTTGCATTTGGAAGACTCTGTATACATATATTTATATTTACAGAATTCCAGCCAAACTGAATCCAATCTCTTCTTGGGCATCCGGTTCCTTATCCACCTTATCTTGAGGGCTTGTGCATAGACTAGAGACTAGACTCCACTTGGCTGAGTTGTATTCTTGGTTTCCAGAATGCCCACAGGTAGGTGGCAGAGACTACACTTAGAACATCCAAAATTAATCCAGATTATGTTTTAAAAGATCTAGACGCATGGTTCTGTTCCTTTTCTTCAGGTCTTGTATTTGGCTAAAAACGCTTATATATGTTCAATTTCCAGGAGGCCCATAGATAGGTGGCAGGGTCTACACTTAGAACATCCCAAATTGATCCAAATTAATCCAAATTATGTTTTAAAAGATCTAGATACGTAGTTCTGTTCCTTTTCTTCAGGTCCTGTGCATAGACTCCATTTGTCAAAAAAAACCCTCTATATTCTCAGTTTCCAGGATGCTCACAGGTTGGCAGACTCTAGAAGTGTAGTTCTGTTCCTTTTCTGCAGGTCTTGTGCATAGACTCCATTTGTCAAAAAAAGCCTTTATATTCTCAGTTTCCAGGATGCTCACAGGTATATAGTTGGCGGACTCTAGAAGTGTAGTTCTGTTCCTTTTCTTCAGGTCTTGTGCATAGACCCCATTAGGCTGAAGAACCGTGTATATTCTCAATTTTCCATCAGGCCCACACGTAGTTGGCAGAGTCTACACTTAGAACATCCCAAATTAATCCAAATTATGTTATAAAAGATCTAGACGCGTAGTTCTGTTCCTTTTCTTTTGGTCTTGTGCATAGTCTCCATTAGGCTCAAAAACCTGCCATATTCTCACTTTCCAGGAGGCCCATAGATAGGTGGCAGAGTCTACGCTTAGAACGTCCCTAATGATGTTTCAAATGATCTAGACGCGTGATTCATCGTGGTTCAGCCACCTATCTCCGGAGGGCGTATGCAGTAACTCCATTTAGTATTCGACCATTTTTGAGCCCCAAATTATCCAAAATTTATAACAATTTTACTATTGAAACCTATGCTTTTTAACTACCCCCAGTAGGAAACCTACAAATTACCAGGGCAATGTTTTTCAGCAGCAGTGAGGGGAGAACGTGTTCTAAGTGTGGTATAGTGTGGTGTTCACAATGGTATTTGTGTGTGTATGCCGTGCAGATTTACCAGACTCACTGGAAATGTTCTAAGTATATGGTCTGTTTATGTTCTAAGTATGAACAAATCCATGGAGATGTTCTAAGTATATGTTTTTTTTTTTAATGTTTTAGGTGCGTACTTAGAACACATTCCTATGTTCTAAGTATGTGTGTTTTTTTATGTTCAAAGTACGGGCTGGATATTTTGGAAAAATATGTTCTAAGTGCAAGTCCGAAAGTATACGGAGAATATATATATGTATAATTATATATATATATGTATAATTATATATATATGTATAATTATATACATATATATATATAATATTTTATCTATAGTTTGATGGGCTTATACACCCACTTGACTGGGGGGGAATCACGTTGTATCGTCCAACCATTCTTCCTGGCAGCGGTTCCAAAAGTCTACTCGGCAGTCGGAGAACAAATCGATCAGTGCGGGGGGGCAGACGGCTTGACGATGAAAGACTGGTGCTGTGAAACATTGGGTCAAAGAGGATACCTCAAATTACATCTAGAATTGCAGAGGAATCATCAAGTTACATCTAGAATTGAATGTTCTAGAGTTGTATATAGCATGGACATACATTTAAGATATGACCTGACTGCAAGCTTCGCAGTTTCCAAGATATATGTTCAATTATGTTCAGACAAATAGTGTCCCATCAAAGCGACATGTATTGTAGCAATTGTAGCACAAAAGTTAGGATTGATCA